TGCAGAAATAATTCCAACATTTAGTAATAGATTAGTTATAGTTGTCATGCACGCGATAAACAACCAACCCTTCCTTAATTTCTCGATAGTTAAGGTACGACCGTTAACTATTTCTCTAACCAAAAAACAACCCTAGGTACGACCGTAAGATTTAATTTCTAGATTGTATTAATAATTAGAAAGGTCCAATCATAACCAACAAACACGCTACGAGGGTTTGTTTAAACTAGATCGTATGCTCCCCTGACATAAACCCAATTACGCCAGTTGCTACTGAGGTAGAGATAACGAACAATTACGGATTCAATTACCCCTATTTAGCAAAAATAGCCTATATGAATAATTAATTATTGCGCACTAATCAATCATACACAAGGCCATAGCAATTAAAATCAGGGAACATATAAATACCAATAAATGAAGAAAATAATTAAAACAGATTCAATCTCACAGTAATTGTCGAACCAAATCGTCAGTTGTCCCCTTGACTAGAAAAACTTAGCCACGCCTCATGAGAAAATCTCCACATAATTTAATTGAAGTCCAGGCCATCAAAGGAACCAAGAAAGAATAAAACTAAACTATGCTAAAAACTAAGCTAAAACTATTGATAAGAGGAACACGATAAAGTAAGAACCACGGAAAAACTCCCAATTCCCTAAAGAAAGGAATTGTCTCCTAATCTAAAACAAATTTCTTCACTTCTCTCCGTGGTCCCGCCGGATAAGGAACAAAACCAATCCTCTGTTCGTTTGTTTCTTTTAAGAGCCCAAATGACTAAGTCTTCTTATCTTGCTGGTCCCACCAAAATTGAGAGTCCAAATGCTCCAAAGAAGGTTCAGCGCCATTCCTTGTATTACGTTTACTCTTGGTAGGACTCCTAGTCAGCAAAAAGGGAAATGGAAATCCGGTCCTTTTTAGCAATGTGGGCCAAGCCTGTGGAGTATTTAGATGTCTCCATATTCTCCAAAAAATACCTCCTTTTTTGTAGTTTTCTGCTCTATTCCCTAAAATTAAGTCCGGATACCAAATATAAGTAGATATTAACAATTAAAACACTATTTGGCAAGAATACAAGGGAAATTAATAATAAAATTGCTAACAAATAACATCCTATCAAGAGTTGAAGAGAATTTTTTTCTAAAGAGAAAGAGCAATTAGAGATTAGTTGAAAAACTCTCTCAATTGTCTTATCTCCCTGGATTTTTAAAATAATCTACAGTGGTTTAAGCCGGCCATTGATTTGGCGGCACTTTTAACATATGTTATAATTGTTGTGACACTTTTGTCTAGATGTTCAAATTTTATGTGGTTTATTAAAATAAAAAACCATTATAAATTGACAAATTTAATGCAAATCTCGAATCCACTAAGAAAATGGGGAGTGTGAAAGGATTAGATTAGATTAGATTAGATTTCGTCCAAATGCACATTCTAAACAAGCAATTAAACATCGCAGTAGGTGAAGATAAGTATTCAAGCTCTCTATTATTTCAGCCTACCTCATTCATTGGTTGTATCATAGTTTATGAAAAAGATTTGTCAAGTTGTAACCTAATTATTTGTCTTAGTGCTCCGTAATTTTTTTTATTACAATGGTGTCCCTTATCAGATTACGTACACGACGTGATCTCTCCAACTTTTAAGATTCCACTCAAATAACATTTAAAAAATGATAATATTAATCTTTATTATCAGATCAATTTCGATGCATGGGACACTCTCTCAATTATCTTATCTCCATTGATTTTTTTAATAATCTACAGTGGTTTAGGGTGGCCATTGGTTTGGCGGCACTTTTAAGATATGTTATAATTGTTGTGACACATTTGTCTAGATGTACCATTTTTATGTGGTTAATTAAAATAAAAAAGCTATTATAAATTGACAAATTTTAATACGCACCCATACTTCTCTGCTAATTCACTACTCCAAAATACATTCGATCGGTTAGACCTCTATCAATCAAAACATCCAAGCCAAAGAAATTATACCCCCGTCTTTAAAGCACTTTTTTGGTGCCACGTTTACACTATTTTCTGGTAGTGTTCACCAGTACAAACTGAGAAAATGGAAGTCCTCAGTTCAGACATAATAAAAGGTATAGAGGCAAGATTTTTTCTTAGTTCCGGTGGCCTGGCGATAATAGAGACAGTTTTTTGGCACCAGCATAATTTTTTTTGAGCCACCGGCATAAATTACCCAAAAGAATAACTAGTCATTAGTTTGTTTTGCTCGAGTTTACAGTTAAACAATCAAAGGTTAACTTGTACGAAAACACACCCAGCATGTTAATTGTTTAAAGTTACAAACTCATAGTAGTCACTAATTTTCCCAATTCATTATTAGTCTATAGTCTTATTCTTTTTTTTTTTCCAGAAACGATAGAAATTTTATTGCAAATAAAAGGATAGTACAATATATGAGCAAGGGCTCAATTTGGACTTTACAAAAGTCCATAGCCTTATTAAAGCTCTCTATTATTTCACCCTACCTCATTCATTGATTGTCTCATAGTTTATGAAAAAAATTTGTCGAAATAAACACAAAAATCATACCATTCACGTTTTTGTGTACAGATGTTTGGATTTTCAAGATGCATACCGATTAAGGAATAATCTTAAGCATCAACGTAACAATACTGTGTTGCTGCCCTCCAATTTCCAGTTAGAATATGTTTGAGTACTTTTAAGGCTGCCAAGAACGAAATGTGGACAGATGTATACTTGAGAATTGACATGATGAGCAGAAAAGATGTACCATTGTTAATTGTCTATTCTCTATGAACGTGGATACTTGAAGCTGCAATTTTAGAAATTAGTCTCTCATAGTTTAGGTCAGGTCAGTACAATAATTGCCCCAAGCATTATTGTACTTGGATAATTACACATTAGAATGAACACATTTCACATTATTGCGCTTGGATGTTTGGATTTAATTTTCTAGGCATTTATCTAAAGGGATAATTTTAGAAACCTCCCTTGAGGTTTCTAACAGTTTCATCTAGCATCTTTTAACTTTAAAAACTATCATTTTCCTTGCTTTTGACTTTTTATAACATTGCCAATCCATTTCAAAATATATTATTAAAAATTCATCTTTGGATGGAGAAGATGTTTTCACTCCAAAAGTACCCTTTGTTGTCCTATACTTTTTTGTCAAAATTGAAAACATATAAAAGAAGGTTGAAAATAAAGACAAGATGTGTAAATGTGTAATGTTGATGGAGTCAATATAATAGTGATATTTTAACATATAAAAAATTTGTTTAAGAACCTATACAAAGTCTTTTCAAGCCAGAAAATATTATTCCCTCATTGTAAAGTGTTTTTGTCAATTTGAGGAATTTTTCAAAATTTTAGAATTTTCTAAAATAGTTTTCTAGATTGATGGCTTACAAAAAACAATTTTATTTACAAACTCATTTGAGGTTTGTTCAAAGACCAAAAATTATTTCCTTAATTTGAATGTGTTTGTGGATGAATTTAAGGATTTGTGAATTGTGTACAATTTTTTTATTTTTTGTCCAAATTAATTCTTCGTGATTAGCAAAACAAGTTCCAATTATATATTGAAACAAAAAGAAAAGAAAGTGAAACTAGCTTTTTAATTTTAAATTTTTTCCATGACCCAAAGGAGATAAACTAACTTGTGATTGATACTTGAACAATCTTTATTGCAAATATCAAGCTCACTAGGGAATTGGGATTGTGAAAGGGTTAGATTACATTTTATGGAAATGCATACTTTACCTGTGCAATAAAACGTTGAACTCTAGGGATCAAAGCAGAATTCTAGTCGGCATAATCTTCAGATTACGTGAAGATAAGTTTTCGAGTTCTCAATTATTTCAGTCTACTTTGTTCATCAATAGTTTCATTTTTTACGAAAAACTTGGTCACGTTGTGACCTAATAATTCATCTTATTTCTCAATTATTTTAGTCTCCCTCTTCTACTACCACTGTAGTCACCCCCTCCCCTCCCCTCTTTCCTCCTCCTTCCTCCTCTCCTTCACTCCCCTCTTTCCTTCTCCTCCGTCCTCTTCTCCTCTTCCCTTTCCCTGCTGTTCTCCTCCCCCGTTTCTCGATCTGGTTGCAACCTGTGCCTTGTTACAGGTGGGTTGCGATAGCGACTAGGTCTAGTTGCCATCCGTGAGTAGATTGAAAAAAGGGAGGGAATGGAGTTGCAGGGAAGGGGAAGGGAAAGGGAGGAGGGAGAAAGAAGAAAGTGGAGGAAAGGAAAGAGGGGAGAGGAGGAGAGAGAAAAAGGAAGGAAGGAGGAGGGGTGGTGGCTAATAGGGAATTTTTTTATAAATATTTAAAAAATAGCTCAATAAAATTTTAAATGTTTTAGACATTCCAAAATAAAATTTTCAAAAACACCTAATTCAAACGAACTGTCTACTATCGAAAGTTTTTAACATACACTGTTATAGTAAAGTTTTTGAAAAATACTTTAAAAAATTTCCACTACATACAAAGCCCAAATAATTTTGAGGTTTAGAATGATCGATTTGATTAGATTTGTTTATATCTATCCAGCATCATCTTTGGTTACGTGACATGTGATGATACAGGAGTATTGACATGGTGTACCTAATTAAATGCAACCACATTATTGATGGTATACCTCATTAAAAGTACCCAAATCCCAATTGAATTAATATGTTTAGATGTTCATAGAAAAGTCCATTTGAAACTTAACTTCTACTACCTTGCTCGATCCGGTCCTCGAAATGCATGTTCCTCCATCCTGTTAACAGATTACGTATAAAGTCAGGTTAGTACAACACATGTCTCAATCACAATTAAACAACAATGTCATTAATAAAAGAATAATCTCATAGCACATATTGAAGAGTAACTATTTTTAAAACTGTAATAGTAAGAGTAAAAATGCCCAATACTCCGCACGTGTTGCATTCCCCACTTGAGATGAACTCGTCTATAAAATGGTCAATCATGGTGCAACTAAACTCACCAAAGCAAATCTGCAAAAATAACTGAAAAAAAGGAAAAGAAAAAATGGCTATCCCATTGCAACTACTCTTCTTACCAATAACATTCCTGTTGATGACATCTCTGATAAGGTTTTCGCAAGCTGCTGGAATTGCCACCTACTGGGGCCAAAACACTACAGAAGGAAGCCTGGTAGACACATGTCGTAAAGGTACCTACGACTACGTGAATATTGCCTTTCTGATAAATTATGGCGGTGGCCAAACACCGCAATTGAACATAGCTGGGCATTCCTTAAACAGTTCCGAAATAGAAACTTGCCAAGGCCTAGGCATCAAAGTGTTTCTTTCTCTCGGTGGAGCCGCTAACCTTTCTTCTTCCGATGATGCTCAGCAAGTCGCCTCCTATATCTGGAACGAATTCTTAGGTGGTAATGAATCAGACTCTCGTCCATTAGGCAATGCCGTTTTAGATGGTGTAGATTTTCATATCCAAGCTGGAAAGGCGGATTACTTGGCTGACCTTGTTCAGGCGCTATCAAAATATAACACACCAGAGAGGAAGCTGGTGTATTTATCAGCAGCACCAGAATGTTTCATTCCTGACTATTTTCTGGACGCTGCTATCAAAACTGGCCATTTTGATTACGTGTGGGTGGAATTTTTTAACAATCCTCCTTGTGAGTATACACCAGGCAATACCAGTCCCCTCTTCGACAGTTGGGACCGCTGGGCTTCCTATCCAGGCATTAATACATTATTCCTGGGAGTACCTGCAGACCCTGCAGTCTCACCTAGTGGTGGTTACATCCCACCGCAAGTGCTAATTGATGAGGTTCTTCCCTTTGTGCAGAACTACTCCAATTATGGAGGGGTCATGGTTTGGGACCATGCCCATGACTTAAATTACAGTGAGACAATCAGGCCTTATGTTAACAAGTCCCAGATACAGCCCGTAAATGCTGGCATTGCCACCTACTGGGGCCAAAACACTACAGAAGGAAGCCTGGTAGACACATGTCGTAAAGGTACCTACGACTACGTGAATATTGCCTTTCTGATAAATTATGGCGGTGGCCAAACACCGCAATTGAACATAGCTGGGCATTCCTTAAACAGTTCCGAAATAGAAACTTGCCAAGGCCTAGGCATCAAAGTGTTTCTTTCTCTCGGTGGAGCCGCTAACCTTTCTTCTTCCGATGATGCTCAGCAAGTCGCCTCCTATATCTGGAACGAATTCTTAGGTGGTAATGAATCAGACTCTCGTCCATTAGGCAATGCCGTTTTAGATGGTGTAGATTTTCATATCCAAGCTGGAAAGGCGGATTACTTGGCTGACCTTGTTCAGGCGCTATCAAAATATAACACACCAGAGAGGAAGCTGGTGTATTTATCAGCAGCACCAGAATGTTTCATTCCTGACTATTTTCTGGACGCTGCTATCAAAACTGGCCATTTTGATTACGTGTGGGTGGAATTTTTTAACAATCCTCCTTGTGAGTATACACCAGGCAATACCAGTCCCCTCTTCGACAGTTGGGACAGCTGGGCTTCCTATCCAGGCATTAATACATTATTCCTGGGAGTACCTGCAGACCCTGCAGTCTCACCTAGTGGTGGTTACATCCCACCGCAAGTGCTAATTGATGAGGTTCTTCCCTTTGTGCAGAACTATTCCAGTTATGGAGGAGTCATGGTTTGGGACCATGCCCACGACTTAAATTACAGTGAGACAATCAGGCCTTATGTTAGCAAGTCCCAGATACAGTACTATGCTGCTATCTGACTAGTTCCTCTCAGTATCTACTGAGAGATGAAATGTAGTCCTGGTTCTTCATGCCAGAGACAAAATTGATAAATAAATAACGGGTTATTAATCCCCAAATAAATTAAAAATGTTGGATAAAGTGCTATCGTGTTTGAGTTTGAATTTGTGCTTATTCTTCAATAAAACTTAGCATGAAAAATATGATTAGTTCTATGTGGAAAACAATAACTTGCAAACAGTGCTAGATCAAAAACCTGTAGTCCGAACATCGAAATAGAAATAACTATGTGCTAAAATATTTTGTTTTATTTCTTCCTGTGCGTGCCACGATATATTTATATGTGTTGTAAAAAATGTACATGTATTCAAACAAAAACCCTTATGTTTCCGGTGCAACTTGGATCAGAAATGGAGTCAATATAGCTCACTTCTCCTTGAGTTTCAATGGTGCTCTGGAGGGATATTTTGTAAATGAGTGATAAGAGTTTATTTTACGTATTTTTAAGTGCATTTTATTAGTTAATTTTCAGTTGATTATTTAGTTTTATAATTAAAATAAAGAGGTTTTTGGTAAAATTATATATTTTTGGTAAAAGTGGATAATATTGCATTTCTATTGATTTTAATGGTAAAAACTTCATTTTCTTGTAGGTTAATGATCCAATCACCAAAAGATGTCAAATGAGGTGAAAAGTAGATAATTGGTGATGAATTCAAGTGGTAGAAAAGAGAAATGAAGTGAAAAATGTTCAAGTGAGAAAATGCAAGTCAAGACAGTTTTGACATTCTTCGGTATTTTGGCTATATCTGGAGCTATACTTATCGGATTGAGGTGATCTTTATACCATTTTAAAGCTAAGAAAGAGACCTACAATTGGTATGAAGACATCGAAATATAATTCTGCTGTTTTCATAGACAAAAAGTCGAAATACAGAAGCTGCATTCTGTGGTCGGAAATTGAAACAGGGGTTTGACCAGAGGATGGTATTTTGACCATATCTCAGCCTACAAAAGTCCAAATGGGATGATTATTGATGCTATGGAAAGATAATTCAAAGAGGTACGACTTTCAAGACTAGCACAAGAGTAGATTCTGCCGTTTTCATGGAGAAATAATTCATGCAATCTGTCAAAAAGAAATTCCAGCAGCAAATCCTGACTTTGATACATGTGCAACTTTTTTTGAAAACTTTTTGTGTATTTTAGTTGAATTTGCAGCTGCGATTTTGAAGATTCTTGACAATAATTAAGCAACGAGGTCATGGATGATAATTTAAGTTTTGTCTTAAACTCATCCAAACACCTATAAATACCCCTTACAATTCAAGAACAATGGAGATTTTTTTTGGCCAACCTTTGTTAGTAGATAGAGAGCTTAGAATAGATTAGTTTTCAGATTCAATAAACGGCGCCAAAAACTTGACGAGGTTAAAATTTACCAATTAAATCAACTCACAAGTTATAACCTAATACCTCGTTTTGCTGCAAGTATACAGATCGAAATATAGTATAGCAAAGGTACAAGGGTCGAATCCCACAGGGAGCAACTTAACAAATACCAGAGTTTTAAACCTTATCTTATTATCTAAACTTTTCAAATTATGTGTTGATCAAAGAATTAAAAACAGATTAAGTGCATGAATCCCAACTAACAAATATGTCAAAAGAAAAGATGTTCTAGGGGAATTAAATCCACTAGCTAGTAAAGATCAGATTTGCCATGTACTTTGTAGTCACAATTCACTCTTGTCTTGGTAGGGAACATTTCCAAATGTATACTTATCTCACTGTTGTGCAGAAAAGCTTTGTCACGATCACTAGGTTCCACCTACTGTCGTGGTGAAAATCAACCAGTGATGATCTTAGGCCTTTGTGAAATATTATGAAAAACCCTTCTAGTGATTCACTACTGTCGTGTGTTTCATGCTAGAATTCAATTAATCTTCTTTCCATTATTGTTTACCACTGTCGTGCGATCACAATAACTGATATAATTTGCAAAAGATGATCAAGCTTTAACAAATGTGAAAGTCAAGATTAATGAATTACCAAGAACAAGGTTAGTGAAAACTAGCAGCATACAAATCCAAATCTTGCACCAACCAGTTTCATCTACCCGTAGAACAAAGGATAGATCTAGCTAGCTAGACATGATTATCAAAATACTCCAACTTCTAATAAAGTAGAAGAAGAGTTAGAAAAAAACTAATATCTAACAGAGCTAAAAACGAAACTAGCTCAAAGAGCTTTATTGAATCTGAAAACTAATCTATTCTAAGCTCTCTATCTACTAACAAAGGTTGGCCAAAAAAAATCTCCATTGTTCTTGAATTGTAAGGGGTATTTATAGGTGTTTGGATGAGTTTAAGACAAAACTTAAATTATCATCCATGACCTCATTGCTTAATTATTGTCAAGAATCTTCAAAATCGCAGCTGCAAATTCAACTAAAATACACAAAAAGTTTTCAAAAAAAGTTGCACATGTATCAAAGTCAGGATTTGCTGCTGGAATTTCTTTTTGACAGATTGCATGAATTATTTCTCCATGAAAACGGCAGAATCTACTCTTGTGCTAGTCTTGAAAGTCGTACCTCTTTGAATTATCTTTCCATAGCATCAATAATCATCCCATTTGGACTTTTGTAGGCTGAGATATGGTCAAAATACCATCCTCTGGTCAAACCCCTGTTTCAATTTCCGACCACAGAATGCAGCTTCTGTATTTCGACTTTTTGTCTATGAAAACAGCAGAATTATATTTCGATGTCTTCATACCAATTGTAGGTCTCTTTCTTAGCTTTAAAATGGTATAAAGATCACCTCAATCCGATAAGTATAGCTCCAGATATAGCCAAAATACCGAAGAATGTCAAAACTGTCTTGACTTGCATTTTCTCACTTGAACATTTTTCACTTCATTTAACCTCAAGAGGAAGGAGTCAATGACGCAAGTTTAACTCATCTTAAGGAGTGTGTTGATAGTGCATATTTCAATGACATTTTCCCTCAACAAGTTCATAAGGATGATCCTTTGGTTAATTCTCAAGTCGTGATATTTGAAGCAGATATCTTTGAAACACTTGAGATTAAGAAGCCACTTCCATCTCCCAAATCATTTGAGGATAAGGCTCATGAGGTGGAATCACCATTTGTTGATCCACCCCGTCCAAAATTGCTGGACTACTCTTTAAAAAAGCCACCTTAATGATGAGTGAAAATAGTCGAACTTAACGACTTGAAACAAAAGTGTTGGTTGGGAGACAACCCAATGATTTTATGCTTTATTAGATTTTAAGTTTTAATAAAATAAAGTGAGTTTTCACATGCATATTTTCCTTTGCTAACAAGGTGCAAGAATTTGGCGCACCACCCTAAGGTTAGTCAGAAACTCGAAAGGGAATTGAAGGTGGTTCAAGTAGAATTATCTTCATTGCACAATCTAGATCTGGATTCTGACTTCAAGCCACCAATTCCATCTTCCCAACAGCACAATCAAGCGATAATCACTCTCAATGAGTGTGCGAATTTCTAACGTGTTGGGAATTTTTCTGAAAGTAGGCGGCCTCTTCTCCATCATCAGAAACACTTACTATATCAGGGAAGCTTACTTACTCCTTCACCTTGAGAACAATGCATAATCTAACTGGTGGAAGAGTTTAAAAAAAGGAAAATTGTGAATAATATGCATGTATAACTTGCTGGATTTTCTGTTTTTAGTTGCTTTTGTTTTAGTTTCCTGAACTAATGGCTTCTTTTAGCTTGTTTTGTTTGATGGTTTTTGTCTTCAAAGGTTGGATATTGGAATGACTGCTGGAAATACACTTGAACATAAGGGGAGTATTTGTCTTCTTTTTACATTTTCAGTGCTTGAATTTTGAATGAATTGAAACTGGTCACCTATATACTTGAATTTACGCTTGAATGTGGAGAAATTGTGGTCTACTGGCAGGGAGAATGGTCAAAATATAAGAGGAAACTTTGCCAAAATTTCTTTAAAATATTGATAGATTTGATCTAATATGGTGTAACTTATCCCTTTTTAGTTTTAAAAGCTCGAAGTGGAAATAGAAGGGATATAGTTACTGAGCAAATATCTAATCCTTTTTCCCATTGAGGACAATGTGAAATTTAAGTGTGGGGGAGGGATTAATTTGGATAATTTGGGTTCATACAACGATGCAAAATCTTTCTCCCAAATTTTTCCAAAATATGGAAGGAAATGTTGAAAATGGTCTAATTTTTTTTTCACAAAAATTTTTCAACATTTGAAGATTCAAATACTTATTTAACTTCGTAGTAATTATTATGCGATCAGAACTGCTGCTATAAAGAAAATATATTTGTAAAGTAGATTGAATTATACCTTGAATTTTGTATGTTTGACAAATTTCCTATCTTGATTGAATTTTACAAATTGAGTGATGATTTTGGTCAATATTTGCATTATTTATTTTATGATCATTCTATAAGAGGGAAATTATCAAAAGAAAAAGAAAAAAAAAGAAGAACAAGAAAAAGAAAAGCAATAATAATAATAATAATAATTTCCACTCCAATGATTCTAGAACCTAGTAACCGGGAGTTGGCATTTACAAATCTCAACTTTCGTGTAGAACGGTTTTTGAATTAAGAGTATGCAAAGCAATTTTAGTAAGTGAAGTGTTGAGTAACCGGGGATCTTCATCTACAAATGTCGATCTTCGTGTCAAAAGACATAATCACTACTGAAGGAAGCCCTTACTATGAATAACTCCCTCGAAAAAAAAAAATAAATGATGATCATGAAATTTGTATGCTTTGACTTGACCTGGAAGATTTGCTTAAGAGTAAAATTGAGTTGAGAATAGAAAGTGAGTTGAACTAATCTTAAATTTCGGGTATAATTTATCTCCTTTGCTTTATATGATGAGTATTTGTGGCATTTAGAATGGTTGTAGAATGATTATCTACTTTGTTAATAAAGGATTGCAATTTGAAAGATATTTGACCAGAAAAAAAAAATACTTGAATTGTTGTTTTGATTTGGAATTTCTTCTTGCTTGAGGACAAGCAATGGTTCAAGTGTGGGAGTATTTGATAAGAGTTTATTTTACGTATTTTTAAGTGCATTTTATTAGTTAATTTTCAGTTGATTAT